AATGATAAAAAGACAATATTTTTTGTCATTTAATTGAATTTATTTTTTATTTACAATTAATTGTAATTCAATTGAAATCCAAAACAAATAATTGATTTATTAATTGATTGTTAGAAAGCATTGAAAGGCAAATAGTATTGAATTTATTGTTGATTTTTTGGTCAAAGATTTTGTTGTTTTCATTCAAACCCGAAACCAATTATCATTGGATTGTCTTCAATGGCGAGAACCGCTGAAGAGGTGAAGACATTGGCCAACGAGTACTTCAACCGCAAAGAGTACGACAGAGCCATCGAGTTGTACACCGAAGCCATCGAATTGGACGCAACGATTGCCACCTATTATGGGAACCGATCCATCGCTTACCTCAAGAAGGAGTTCTACGGCTACGCGTTGACCGACGCCTCCAAAGCCATCGATTTGGACAAGAATTACATCAAAGGCTACTACAGACGAGCGGCCGCTCAGATGGCTCTCAACCGATTCAAACAAGCCGTCAGAGACTTGGAGACTGTCGTCAAATACCGGCCCAACGATACCGACGCCAAGAATAAGTACAACGAGTGCCTGAAGATTGTCAAGCGATTGGCTTTTGAAAGAGCGATAGCCGTGGATGAGGTGAAGAAGTCGGTGTCAGAATCCATAGACTTGGAGTCGATGTCCATTAGCGACGACTACGACGGACCACAGCTGACGGACGGAAAGGTTACCAAAGAGTTTATGATAGAACTGATGGACTACTTCCGCGATCGCCAGAAACTGCACCGCAAATACGCCTATAAAATGATATTAGATGTGAGACAACTGTTCGCCAAAGACGACACTTTGGTGGACATCCAGATCTCGTCGGACCAGAAGTTCACGGTTTGCGGTGACATTCACGGCCAGTTCTACGACCTCTTGAATATATTCAAACTCAACGGACTTCCCAATGAAGACAATCCCTACTTATTCAACGGTGATTTCGTGGACAGAGGCTCCTTCTCTCTCGAATGCATTCTAACGCTAATCGGTTTTAAGCTCTTATACCCCAAACACTTCTTCATGTCGAGGGGTAATCACGAAAGTCAGACAATGAACCAAATGTATGGCTTCGAGGGCGAAGTCAAAGCCAAATACACGTCACAAATGTACGAATTGTTTGCCGAAGTGTTCAATCTGTTACCACTGGCCCACTGTATCAACAGTAAAGTGCTGGTAATGCACGGCGGACTCTTCAACTCAGACACCATCACTTTGGACCAAATACGGACAACCGATCGCAATAGACAACCACCCGATGAGGGCATTATGTGTGACATTCTCTGGTCAGATCCGATGCCAGCCAAAGGTCGCGCTCCCAGCAAACGAGGCGTTGGCGTCCAGTTTGGACCCGACGTGACCGACAACTTCTGCAAACTTAATCAACTCGATTACATCATTCGCAGCCATGAAGTGAAACCCGACGGATACGAAGAAGTATTGATTGATAATGTTTTTGCTCATAGTTTTGATGCATTTGTAATCATATGTTGTATTTCTTGATGGTTAGGCACACTCTGGTAAATGCATAACAGTATTCTCTGCGCCCAACTATTGCGATACAATGGGAAACAAAGGGGCGTTCATAACGATGAAGGGATCGGATCTGCGGCCCAAATTCACCACATATGAAGAAGTGCCTCATCCCAACGTCAAGCCCATGGCCTACGCTAACAGTCTCTTCTCATTCATGTGACCATAAGATTCACTTAAGACAACATTTAAAAGCAAATAAATACCCAATTAATAACAATTCAAACAATAGGAACAAATGTCTAGATTTTCTACAGATTTTAAAACATTTATCGTTAATATTTGAGAAAATGTGATACAAAAAGAGGATTATTTGAAATGATTTTTTATATTAATTTAAAATTCACTACAACTTTGAGTCCATCAATATTTCATTGAAAGCAAATTTCTTTAAAATGAACGCAATTCTGGTTTTTGTTTCGCAGAGAATTAATAAGTAAAACAAATTAATTGAAATTTTTTATAGTTTTTTGGATCTATTATTAAAAAATTATATTATGTTTTATGCGAATAATATATGAAAATAAATAATTTTTATGAACACTTAAAAATTGTAAACTTTAGTTTGCATTCACTTTCATCATTGAATTCAAATGGTATGAATCGATATACGAATGAACCACTGGATTGTCCAACACATAAGTAAGTTAAATAAAAGTATTTAAACTGCAATTTTTACAACTTATTTAATTTTAACCGGACTTTAAAACATTAATTACAATCACAAACTACGTGTATATAAAGAACGGTGAAAATGAAATCAAATAACACTGTATTCAACGCTGTATTGCATTAAATTGTAGGAATTGGGGGCAAAAGGGGTTCAAAAAAGTGATTTATTAGTAACAGTAGTTGTGATGAGTTTTAGAGTAAATAAATAAAAGTTACGTAAAAATAGTAATAAATGAGTGAAAAAATAGTGAAATTGATGTCATATTTAAAGCATTGATTGAATGAATATATGTTTATGTGTTTTGCAAACCATTTGTTCAAAAGTGACTTCAATTTAATGAACAGATGTTTACATATGTTTTGCATGAAAGCAATGAAACGCCTCATAACTAGTGCTTTGAGCGCCGATATTGTGTGTGTCTATTGATTGGTGGATCAGATTAGTGGCCGACAACATGTTTAGCCTATTGTCGACGGCCATCAACAGCACGATGGAAG